GTCAGCAGCGGCGGTGGGCAGCTGATGGCGGCGTGCGGCTTCTTCGGATGGTGATTGATCTTCTCCCCGCGTGCTGGCCAGCCACCGTTAGCGCCTCAGCTGGAGCACGCCTGCGGCATGGCCGAGCAGCGCCGCCATCGATGAACCCTCTATCCGAAGCCTCGGACGTGGGGAGCGCGTCCAATAGGCCGCTGCGCCTTCTAGATCTGAGCTCGCGGCGGTCTTATCATCATCATAATCAGCATCAGCATCATCAGCATCATCATCATCATCATCATCAGCAGCAGCATCGTCATCATCATCATCATCATCATCATCATCATCATCATCATCATCATCATCATCAGCATCATCATCTTCAGTATCAGCATCATCATCATCAGCATCCGCATCAGCATCAGCACCATCATCAGCATCAGCATCAGCATCAGCACCAACAGCAGCATCCGCATCGGCAAAAGCATCAGCATCAGCATCAGCATCAAAATCAAATTCATCATCAAAATCATTTTCGTCATGGTCCACGTCACCATCATCACCATCATCACCAGCATAATCGCCATCAACATCATCATCATCATCATCATCATCATCATCATCATCATCATCATCATCAACATCATCAGCAGCAGCAGTAGCCTGGGCATCAGCATCATCATCAAAGGCATCATCAGAAGCCGTGGCATCATCATCAGCCACAGCATCAACATCATCGGCATCATCATCATCATCATCATCATCATCATCATCATCATCATCATCATCATCATTCTCAGCAGCAGCAGCAGTCGCAGCAGCAGCAGCGGCATCAGAATCCCCACCATCAGCAACAGCGACGACGAGACGACAAAACCCATCACCCCCACAACAACAACAACAACAACAACAGCAACAACAATAACAATAACAACAACTATAACAACAACTATAACAACAACGTCAGCATCCGCATCATCATCATCATCATCAACAACAGCATCAGCATCATCATCAGCAGCAGCATCGAATTCATCATCAGCAGCATCAGCCTCATCAGCATCGTCATCAGCATCATTCTCATCGTCACCATCACCACCGCCACCATCATGATCATCATCATCATCATCATCATCATCATCATCATCATCATCATCAACAACAACGGCAGCATCATCTGTATAATCATCATCATTGTCCTCACCTTCATCATCATCCACATTCTCGCCATCATCCCCCTGATGCTCATCGTCAACCTCGTCACCGCCACCACCATCAGCATCAGCATCAGCATCCGCATCATCATGAGCATCATCAGCACCCTCATCATTCAGCAGCGGCATCATCATCAGCAGCATCAGCATCATCAACCACATCATCATCCCCATCATTACCATCAAAAACACCATCCTCTTCATCATCATCATCATCATCATCGTCATCGTCGTCCTCCTCGTCGTCGTCATCATCATCATCAGCATCATCATAACCCACAGCATCACCATCATCATCATCATAACCACAAAAGATCAGCCAGCGTTAACTCAAAATAGATTGGAGGAGAGGAGGACGAGAGGAGGATGGGAGGAGGACGAAAGGAGGACGGGAGCAGGACGGGAGGAGGACGGGAGAAGCAACATCAAGCAAGCGCAAGCAAGCAAGCGGAAGCAAGCAAGCGCAAGGCATAGGAGCGCTCAGAGTTGGTGCATAGGCATAGGCATAGGCATAGGAGCGCTCAGGGGTGGTGCATAGGCATAGGCATAGGCATAGACATAGGCATAGGCATAGGCATAGGCATAGGCATAGGCATAGGCATAGGCATAGGCATGGGCATGGGCATAGGCATAGGCATAGGCATAGGCGTAGGCATCGGAGTTATGGGGGAGGCATAGGCATAGGCATAGGCATAGCCATAGGAATTAGGGGGGTGGGGGGCATAGGAATTAGAGGGGGGGCAACGGGCCAATTAGTAGAGAATGAGTTAGAACTCCTATAGGGCAAGCCTATTGGGAGAATTCGCATCATCAGCAGCATCATCAGCACGGTCATCATTATCATCGTCGTCGTCATCAGTCTCAACAGCATCAACACCGTCGTCGCCGTCAACGCCATAATCATCAGACGAATCAGAATGATCAGCGCCAGCATCATCAGCATCGTCATCAGCATCAGCATCAGCATCATCATCGGCATCATCAGCATCAGCATCATCATCAGCATCATCAGCATCACCACCACCACCACCATCATCATCATCATCATCACCATCATCATCATCCGTTCAGTCATCATCACCACCACAATCATCACCGTCAGCAGCAGCAACAGCATCAGTATCGTCATCATCATCATCACCAACAGCAGCATCGTCATGATAAACATCAGCATCAGCATCAGCAGCAACATCATCATCATTAATCATCGTTATCAGCATCATCATCGTCATCATCATCGTCATCGGTATCGTCCACATCACCATCACCAACAGCATCGCCATCATCACCATCATAATCGCCATCAACATCAGCAGCAGCATCAGCAGCATCAGCATCAGCAGCATCATCAGCAGCATCATCGGAAGCAGCATCATTATCATCAACAGCATCATCCGCATCCTCATCAGCATCATCGTCAGCAGCAACATCATCATCATATTCACAAACAACGCCCTCATCCTCATCCTCATCCTTACCACCACCACCACCAACATCATCATCAACAACACAATCAACAACAACAACAACAACAATTACTAGCACGTGGGGACACTCCGTTCTCACCAGTGCCAGGGTTTTCATACGACGCCCGCCAATACCCCCACTTTGTGGGGGGGCCGGTTCAAGCTCTACCACATTTCCAAACGACTCTTCGCCACCACCCACACCCAGCTTCCCGCCCTATGACGTTCGGACACTTCACTTCGTGGCATGCGGACGACCGTGGCTACTATTCAGGGCCCCGCGGCCGACGACGACGGCGTGCGCGCGCGAAGAAAAAACGAATGTGTCCCGCATGGTATTATTTGACAGGGATGATGGCCCTGGCAGGTGCGCAACCGTTGTTGGAGAAGTTCGAAAAAGTTGCTCGCAAAAGCCCGTTTGACAGAAATGTTTAAAAAGTGTTGGGTTTCCTACAAATCCGCAAGAGCGCGCGGGATGAAATTTTGACACTTTTTTTTTGAAAAACCATTGGTTTTTTGATGTTTTTATGTTAAAATCGCTACGAACACTAAGGTTTTGGAAGGATTTCGTCTTGCGCGCGCGAATGTCCACTTTACCTTATTTTTTGCAAGGGATTCTTGAAGTTTGGTTATGTTAGAACAAGAAATGTCCACTTTGCCTTATTTTTTGCAAGGGAAAACCGCCCGTAACAAAACAACCGGATCCGGACCAACCCGTTTTGCCGGAGACTTCCTCACGAAAATGATGAAAACATGGCTGCGGCCTAGGCGCGGCGAGGGGGCCGCGCACCAGGGGTCCCAACAATAATTATTCTTTAGAAGTAATAATGTTCAACAACAACAACAACAGCAGCAGCAGCAGCATCATCATCACCATAAGCATCATCACCACCACCAACAACATCATCATCAGCAGCATCATCAGCATCATCAGCATCATCGTCATCATCACCATTATGAGTAGCAACATCATAGGTGGCCGCTTGGGACCAGGCCTGTCGGGAGGTCGCCAGGCCTTCCGCCACGCTCGCTCTTGCCACCCCCAGCGCACCGTCTCCCGCTGGCGGCCGTGCGCGTCGGATGCTGGAAGGCCGCCCGCTGTGCGCGACCTCCTCTGCTCAGAGAAGGTGGAGGGCACAGCGCACGGTGGTGCGCCGTGCCCGCGAGGCTGCGCCTGCGAGGCGCCGCGGGCCAATGCAACGCACCAGCCCTCCCGCCGCACGCGCGGAGCTGGTCGCCCTGGTCGTGCGGGAGGCCGCGGTTGAGCGCTGCCACGATGTGGGTCGAGGAGGCCTTGAGTCAATCACGGTGAATGCGGGGGCGCCTATCTCCAGAGGGCCGCGTCGACAACCTCAAGTCGGCGATGTTTGCCCTCTGGATGGAGGCCGCGCCGCAGACAGCCGTCAGAGCCGTGGACTGGGCCATCGAGCCGCCAAAGGCGTTCGCTGGTCATCATATTTCGGGCCTGCTCAGCGTCATGAGCGTGGTGGGCATGGTCCACGACGCTGCTCGCATCGGCATATCCTTCGGCTGGGTGAAGGGGCGCCGCTTCGGCGAGCTGTTCGCGCTGTTCTGCTTCGACCCCAAGATCTACGCCGCTGTGTGGGTTCCGACCTCGCCATGGGCCTCGTCGTGGTGCTCTGGGTGGTCTTCCTGGTGGGCTGTGCCGTCCTGCACCTGATCGAGGGTACGGCCATCGTGTCGCTGAAGCCCGTGCTGCTATACACGCCGCTTGTGGGGGTGAGCTGCAATACCTAGGCATGCAGGTACGCCGTACCAACCGACTGGTCACTCTGCAATCGTGGGGTTCGCTGCTACGCGCTGGTGTCGGTGCGCCGCTTCGTGTTCAACTTTTGTCAGGGTTTTGTGTGCCGCCTTCGTCGCGCAGCCTCGCAAGCTGGCCGTTTTCTTGTGGGCCCCTGGGGCGGGCAGCTAGCTGGCGGTTCTCATGCCAGCTTGGCTCACTCTCACCGCCGTCTTGGGACCTCGGATGCCCCGGTCGCCCGAGACGCCCTCGGAGCACGACCCGAGTCCCAAAACCGTGCGGTGGGTGATGATAATGATGATGATGATGATGATGATGATGATGATGATGATGATGATGATGATGATGATGATGATGATGATGATGATGATGATGATGATGGTGATGGTGATGGTGATGGTGATGGTGATGATGATGATTATGATGATGCTGATGCTGATAATAATGACGATGAGGATGCTGATACTGATGCTGATGCTGATGCTGATGCTGATGATGATGATGATGATGATGATATGATGAGGAGGAGGAGGAGGAGGAGGATGGGCGCCCTCGATGCCAGATGCCCCCCCCCCAAGCCTCGGGCCCGCGTCGCAGGCGTACGCGGCGGCGCGGCGCTGCACCGGCAGGTGCGGCGCGACCCGCCGAAGCGTCGGCCCGCCGCCGCCGCCGGCACTCGCCGGGAAGACCTGTGCCCTCCACCCGTCGCGCCTCCTCGGCCTCAACGTCACCATCTGAATCATCCTCCAGATCGTTCTCCTGCTCATCCTCCATCTCTTCCGCCAGCTCCTCCTCCGCTTCCTCCTCGTCCTTCGCCTCCTCCGCCTCTTCCTCTCTCTCTCCTGTTCTCCCTCGTCCTCCTCCACGTTCTCCTCCTCCTCTTCCTCATCCTCCTCCTCTGCCTTCTCCTTATACTCTTCCTCCTACTCTTCCTCCTCCTCCTGCACGCATTCCGCTTCCTCGTCCCTCCATCATTCCGATCGTGTCCCCTCCTACCCTCCTCTTCCCTCTCTCGGCTACACGCAAGAGTGACCCTAGGCAAGAGTGACCTTTAGTGCGCGGACTAAGGGGGGCGCAAGGTGGCCAAATCCAAGCACGCAAACAGCCACCATCCCATGGCGCTCAGCGATCGGGGGGACCCCAATGAGCCCGCACCAAAGGTCACTCTTACGTGTAGTCGACTCTCTTTCACATCCACCTCCTCCTCGGCCTTGCTAACGAGGGTGCAGCGGTTTGCCTCGGCCGTCTGCCGAGGCATGTTTCCGCGGCTCTGTTTGAGTGCATCGGCCCGTGCTGGTCGAGTGCGGTCCCCTCGCTGGCGCCCCCCTGCCGTCTCCCCGAACTGGCCATCGTGCTTGATTTTCCTCCAGCTTCTCTTCCTCCTCCACCACCACCTTCTCCTTCTCCTCCTCCTCCTCCTCCTCCTCCTCCTCCTCCTCCTAGTCTTCTTCTTGTAACTACTGTTTTTTTCTTCCTCCTCCTCCTCCTCCTCGCCCTCCTACTCCTCCTCCTCCATTCACCAACTCCTCCCTTCTCATACAACTCCTCCTTCTCATCCTCATCAACAGCAACGATCATAATCATCATCATCATCATCATCATCATCATCATCATCATCATCATCATCATCATCATCATCATCATCATCATCATCATCATCACCAGCAGCAGCAGCAGCCGCAGCAGCAGCAGCAGCAGCAGCAGCGGCATCATCATCCTCACCATCAACAGCAACGTCGACGAGACGACGAAAACCATCACTACCACCACCAAAATAACAACAACTGCACAACAACAACAACAACAACAACAACAACAACAACAACAACAACAACAACAACAACAACACCACACTCCTCGCATACAATCACATCCTCCTGAAATCATAGCCATACTGATCGTCATCATCGGCAGCAACACCACCACCATCACCATTACCATCATCACTATCATCATCATCATCATCATCATCATCATCATCATCATCATCATCATCATCATCCTTCTCCTCCTTCTCCTAGCCTTCTTCTTCTTATATATACTTGTCTTCTTCCTCCTCCTTGACACCCTCCTCCTCCTCCTCCTCCTCCTCCTCCTCCTCCTCCTCCCCCTCCTCCTCCGTTCAACTCCTCCTCCCTTCTCATACAACTCCTCCTTCTTATCCTCATCAACAGCAACGATCAGAATCATCATCATCAGCAGCCGCAGCAGCCGCAGCAGCAGCAGCAGCGGCATCATAATCCTCGCCATCAGCAACGTCGACGAGACCACAAAAACCCTCACTACCACCACCACCAAAACAACAACAACAACAACGACAACAACAACAACAACAATCATACAACAACTATACAACAATAACAACGACAACAACAACAACAACAACAACAACAGCAACAACAACAACAACAACACCACACTCAGCACACACCACGATATCATCATAGAATCAAAACTATCATCATCATCAGCAGCAGCACAACCACCATCACCATCACCATCACCATCACCATCACCATCATCATCATCATCATCATCATCACCATCATCATCATCATCACCTTTATTATCATCATCATCATCATCATCATCATCATCATCATCATCATCATCATCATCATCATCATCATCATCATCATCATCATCATCATCATCATAAGCATCATCATCATCATCATCATCAGCATCATCATCATCATCATCATTATCATCAACATCATCATCAGCATCACCATCATCATCAATATCGTGATCATCATCATCAGCATCAACATCAGCATCAACATCATCATCATCACCACCATCATCATCATCATCGTCATCATTACCATCATCAGCATCATCATGATTATCATCATCAGCATCATCCTCATCATCATCATCAGCATCATCGTCATCATCAGCATCATCGTCGTCGGCGTCATCATGATCATCGCCATCGCCATCACCATGTTCTTCGTCATCATCATCAGCAACCTCATCATCACCAGCATCATCTCCAGCATCATCACCAGCATCATCATCAAAAACCTCATCATCAAAAAAAGAATCAGCATCAGCATCATCATCACCAACATCAACAACATCATCATCAACAACATCATCATCAGAATCAGCATCATCATCGGCATCATCGTCATCGTCATCGTCATCGTCATCGTCATCGTCATCAGCATCGTCATCATCAGCATCATCAGCATCATCATCGGCATCGACGTCGGTGTCGTCATCATCATCATCATCATCACCATTATCATTTCCAGAATCATCATCATCATCAGCAGCAGCAGCATCATCATCAGCATCAACATCAGCATCAACATCATCATCACCACCATCATAATCATCATCATCGGCAGCATCAGCATCATCATCATCATAATCTGCATCATCAGCATCCTCATCCTCATCCTCATCCTCATCATCAGAATGAACATCTTCAGTATCATCATCATCATCATCGAAAGCCTCGCCAATACTATCGTCAACTACCATCACCATCATCACCGTCATCAGCACCACCATCACCATCACCAACACGTTCACGAATATCATCATCATCAGCAGCATCACCATCATCATCATCATCACCACGATCATCATGATCATCATGATCATTATCATTACCATCATCATCGTCATCATCAGCAGCAGAATCATCATCACCACCATCATCATCACCAGCATCAGCATCAGCATCATCATAACCATGTGTATCATCATCATCATGACAACCACCACCACCATCGGCGTTACCAACAGAAACGCCACCGTCACTCCCAGCCGTTGCTATCTTGGCAGTCAGGCCCCGCCGCTGGGGCCCGCGCCCGAGCCCCTGCGACGTGAAACCTTATTCTTATTATTATTTAGTATTAGTATCTCTTATTATTATGATTATTATTATTATTATGTATTATTATTGTTCTTATGATGATTATTATCACTATTATTATTACTATTATTTCTTATTCTTATTTGGGGCGGCATTCTGCCGATCGGAGGGCGCGGAAGAAGCACAGGGGCGCCCAGACACCGCCCGGCCGCCGGCCGCAGCGCGGGCAGCGGCGACGGGATGGCCGCCGGCGCGAAGCGCACGCGCCCCGTCGGTCTGCGAGCGGCAGAACAGCAGCGCGGATGGCCGCGCAGTGCGAGCCTGGTCGCCGAGATGAGGTGGCTGCAGGGCAGTTATTGATACATGGGAGTTTAAAACATATAGGATGTTTAATACATGATTAATGCATGAATAAATCGTTGTTATACATGTATTTTTTTTAACATGGGATTTTTAATACATGATTAATACATGAATACACGAATACACGAATAAACTCATGCATGAACTCATCGTTGTTTTTAGTACTGAACCCCTGCATTTTTAGTACATGATCCGCACGCGGAGCATGTATCAAAAACGGCACTGTGTATGCAGCCGTGCGTGGGCGGCGAGGTGCTCGAGCTGGCGGCCATCAGCGTGCCACGCACCCGTGCGGGAGCGAGAGAGGCTGGCCTGGCCCAGGCGCCACGGGACAGGGAAAGCACATGCCGCCGTCACACGTGCCGCATCGAAGCGATTCGTAATCCAAAAGTGGGGGCGGATGTCCCAGGGACAAACATGTACACGTGATGATGTTTCATGCAAAGGCTGCGGGTAGGCGAAATCAATTGACATATGTCTGGCGTGTTCCACATCCTCGGACGATCGTCCAGCCTGTAGCAACCGCAATAAATTGTGTTGTCGTTGGACATGTGTTATAGCTATTGTACCAACGCTTGTATAAATATACACGTAAATGGCATCATGGGTGACACATCGAGACCACATGGCGCAAGCCTTTCGTTATCCCCGCCACGCCGCCAGCGAAAGAAGATGGGGCGAACTGTTTCCATCCGCCGTGCACGCGCGCTTGCGTACTACATGTTGTTTGGTACGTCCTTCTCCGCATCAACATCATGGAAAAGTCATCCACAATCATAATCATCACTATGGGCATGCCCATCATCATGACCAACAGACTCATCATCATAATCCCCCTCTATCCCTCCGCCTCTTCCTCCTCCTCCTCCGACTCCTCCTCCTCTTCCTCCTCCTCCTCATCCTCCTCCGCCTCCTCCTCCTCCTCCTCCTCCTCCTCCTCCTCCTCCTCCTCCTCCTCCTCCCCTCCTCCTCCTCATCCTCCGACTCCCTACTCCTCCTCCGACTCCTCCTCCTCCTCCTCCTCCTCCTCCTCCTCCTCCTCCTCCTCCTCCTCCTCCTCCTCCTCCTCCTCCTCCTCCTCCTCATGGACGCAACCCTGCGGACATAATCAACACTTGCCCGCTTTGACAGGAATGAACAGGGCGCGCGCCATGCTCTGGCCCAATATCCATCAGTGTCGCGCGCCGTTGCCTCGCCACGAAAGTCGCCAGGCGCAGCAAGGTCGGGAGAACTCACCGCACCACTGCCGCCTGGGGCACGGATAGCCAGCAGCTCGGAAACAGGGCGGCCTGTCTCACCAGCACGCACCAAAGCACGCGATCGCCACGGCTGATCAGGAACGAAAGAACCCGTGCTCGGTCACCTGATTCCGACCCCGAGCAAAAGTCTGCCAGCACGCACGCCTTCGTCAAGGGCCACGAACCGGTCTGCCAGCGCACGGAGAAGACAGAACGAGAACAGCACCCGTGCCTGCAGCTCAACAGGCGGCGCAGG